CCCCCCCCCCCCCCCAAAAGGGCCTGAATAGCCTTTAGGAGCTTTGCAGAGTGCTCCGGAGGGGGGGGGGGCAAAATTGAGCAAAAAACAGCCTGTTTTTCACTCATTTTTGTCCTCCCCAACCCCCAGGAGCATTCTGCAAGGCTCCTAAATGCTATGCACGGCCATTTTGGTGAAGGGGGTGGGGTTTCGGGAGGCAAAAAATGCTATATTCAGTGTATAAGACACACCCAGATTTTCAGCTCTTTTTTGAGGGAAAAAGGTGCATCTTATACTCTGAAAAATACGGTATATAAATTTTGAGATATAAATAAATAGGAATTGGCGGAAGTGAGACTTATAATTAATGCAAATTGAGTTAGTGAGATATTTGTTATGTTTTTATAAACATTTAATATTTTAAAAAATAATGAGAATTCAGAAATCTGTATATTGTATTGGTTTACATTTTTCTATGTAATGAAGGGCAAAAATAATTTGCATAACTGGTATTAAAATATAAATAGATGAAAAGGATGCTAAATATTTTTGTAAATATATTAGAAATTATATGTAAGCTGGGAATCAGGCAAAGTTTGTCCTTTATTTACTTGTAACTTCTAATTTATATTTATGTACATTTTTCTATTGTTTACATAGTATTATTCTTACACATGTAATTAAAACTTGTATGCGTTCTAAACTTTTTAGAACTGTAAAATAAAACAACTGATACTATGCAGTAACATACTAATATATGCAGTATATCAGAGTGATGAATATATCTCTTATTGCTGTAGAAATTAGCTCGCTTCTAACAAGGGCAGATTTTACAAACCTATCTTTTAGTATCAGTTATTCATTTAGAAACAAAGTGTTTATTTTATATCTATCTATCTATCTATCTATCTATCTATCTATCTATCTATCTATCTATCTATCTATCTATCTATTTATCTATCTATCTATCTATAAATATAAATGGTGCCAATTTGATAGAATTGCCAAATAACTTTAAGACAGTTGTTAAGAATTTGGTTAGCGATGTCACAACCCTGTATGATTTATTAGTTATTTATGTGTCAGCATTTTCTGGATTATTCATCCTATCTGAAATAACAGTGATGAAATGATTCTTTGGTACCCCATTATACATCAGAAGTACCACATTTATTCCATAATCTGACAATAAATGCATTGCTAAAATGTTGACGTTTATTATTATTGTTACTTCATATTTTCTTTTTTTTTTAATACAATCATTTATTTTCTCATTTTCAGATGACTTCTGCAACAAAGCAACCTAAGTTCCCTATTGTAGCAGGGTGCCTGAAAGGACTGACTGCACTTATGAATAATTTTACCAAATCCATGGATGAAGGTATCATCTTTATTTTGCTAAAATAACCCAATGCAATTTTCTTCCTGTATAAAATTGTGTTTCACCAAAAAGGCTAAATCTCTTAAAGGTGAAGACATGGCAACATTGTCAAGGTTGGAAAGTTCATACCCCAAGCCATGACAATGTTTCCATGTCCTCACCTTTAAGAGATTTAGCCTCATTTCACTGTTTGGAATAATTTGCTTCAAGATCAGACCACTTTCAGTAAAATGAAAATGGTCAAATTTGTGGTAAAAAAATATATCTCAATATTGAAAAATTTGCACACACATTTAAAATGAAAAGCCTTGCTGACAGCTTATAAACTGTGGAAACTTTCTATGATTTACTTTCTTGCTTTGTTTGATACTAAAACTGATTTATCAATTTGAGAAGCATTGATATAAAACAAGCTTATGGATACTTTCCTAGATTAATTCATGTATAAAAGGAGCCTACAAATATTTAGAATCATCAAAGGTGATTTTGTGAATTCCTTGGTCTTGGTAATTTGTTTTATTGGAATAGCCTTAATTCCCTTTATTTAATCTGTTGTAATGTAGGTGTATACTTTGCTTTTGTCCTTTTTCTAAAATTTATACTATTAAAATGTCTGCATTTTAGTGCCCTTTCCAAGTAATTGGTTCTGTTAGGATCTTAAAGCAGATTAGCAGATATTTCATAGTGTTTGGATTTCTTCTCTGAAGGTTTTATAAAATTAGGATATGCAAGAGTAGAGTAGAACAAATTGATAAAAAATTAAACTTCCAATTATTCTCTACAGCTCATTCTGATAATTTTTTAGGCTTTATGGTGCATCTATATGGAGATTTTCTGTTTCCTACAATAGCAAAAGTAGAATGGACCAAAATGGGGATGCCTTGGATTGGGGTGGGTCTTGCCTAATAATTGGTGGGAATTGGTTATCAATGGCAATAGAGATGCAATTACATTATGTTGCATGTTCTGATCATATTACTTGGCAATGGAAATTCTGATCTCAATTATTGTTTGTTAACCAAGGCCTTACCTGTATGCTAAATAAACATGGTAGATTAGTTTGGATTAGTTTGTTAGGAAGTCCTTGTTGAATCAAAGCAATATTTTGGAATGTACTATTGATATCTTTTATGACATGTGAGAAAAGGATTAAATTTACACAACTCTGTCATTACTGCGGTTTATATGGTTCGTCTATCTACAGATCCCCGAACATCAAAAGAGATCTTTGATTTTGCAGTGAAGGCAATAAGTCCAAAGGTATATATAGTGTCTCTTCTAACTTCTTCTTAAAAGAAGATTCTGACATGTTAATTTGACAAATTATTCTTATTCTGAACCCTTTGAAATTGCAGATTGATTTAAAAAGATATGCAGTGCCTCTTGGTAAGAATTTCTTATTTTCTTATGAAATAGTTCTGTGGTGGCAAAATAGTTTCTGTGATAACAGCTTTTGTTCTTTAGTTATTTTTTAATTTTGTCTTCCAATATAATCAAAGTTTAGCCTAGGTTGACATGTCACTTCAATTTAGAAAAGACATAGATTATATCATGGTGTTTTTCCCCAGGAAATATTTAAAAAATCAATAACAATTGAACAATTTTGTCAAAAGTAATTTTATAAACAAGTAATCATTCAATCTACTATAAAAATATTTTGGATATAACTGAAACAATATGGTCAATGTAAATTAAAATGTTTACTTTTACAGCTGGTCTACATTTATTCAGTAAGCACGCTGTTCAGTTCAGCACTTGTCTTTTAGACAATTATGCCTCCTTGTTTCAAACAATGTCCAAATGGTGTGGCCATCAAAATGCAGAAGTCAAGAAAGCTGGTCATTCGGCGTTGGATTCATTTCTTAAACAGGTACCAAAAATAAAACTGTTATCTGGCAGAATTCCTAGAATGTAAATACTATAGTGAAACAGTCTTCATATAAGTTTGCCCTTGTTATAACTGCTGTATTTTCGGAGTGTAAGGCACACCAAGATTTTGAAGAGGGAAATTTAAAAAAAAGTTTTTGCACTCGGCATACCTCCCAAAAACAGCCCATTTTTTTGCAAAAACGGGCCTGTTTTTGTCCAAAAAAAGGGCATGCATAGCCTTTAGGAGGCTTATAAAGTGCTCCTGGAGGCTGGGGGGGGGGGCAAAATTGAGCAAAAAACAGCCCTCCTAAAGGCTATGCATGGTCATTTTGGTGAAGGGGCGTGGTTTTGGGAGGCAAAAAATGCAATATTATTCAGTTTATAAGACACACCCAGATTTTCAACCTCTTTTGAGGGGAAAAGGTGCGTCTTATACTCCGAAAAATATGGTAGTAAGAAATGAGTTATGCATACTAGCTCTAGCCTGGCATACATTTTTCAAGAACAATGGAACGGCTTTAGATCAGTGAATTCAAAAATTTTCAAAATCTACCTGAGGCAACCAGGTTATTTATTTTCTTTCCTTTTATGTTCATTAATATTGGTGGCTCAGTGGCTAAAGTGCTGAGCTTGTCGATCAGAAAGGTTGGCAGTTCGGCGTTTCAAATCCCTAGCACTGCGTAACAGAATGAGCTCCTGTTACTTGCCCCAGTTTCTGCCAATCTAACAGTTTGAAAGCATGTAAAAATGCAAGTAGAAAAATAGGGACCACCTTTGGTGAGAAGGTAACAGTGTTCCATGCACCTTTGGCATTTAGTCATGCCGGCCACATGACCACAGAGATGTCTTCAGACAGTGCTGGCTTTTCGGCTTTGAAATGGAGATGAGCACCGCCCCTTAAAGTTGGGAACAACTAGCCCATGGAAACCTTTACCTTTAATATTCGACTGGGTTCAGAATTGTTAGGTTCTCAGAGATCCATGAAGGCATGTAGAGTTATCCAGAATTTATTTGCATTTTGAAAGGCAGTTCTTCCTCTCATCTCTTAAATGGTATCTGATTTCATGGCCTCTAGAATTGTAGGCCTCTTTAAAGTTTTATTGTTACTTTTAATGCCAATAGATCATTGCTTCTTGTTCCTCCAAATGTGTTAGCATTTTATTACATAATTTTGGAAAACAATTGGCAATGTTAATTATAGATAAATGTAAGACAGTGATAAAATACTAATTTTATGTATGATTTTAAGATTTCATCAATGGTTGCCAAAGATGTTGAAATGCATAAGAGCAAGTTACACTTCTTTATGGAAGAATTTTATGGTATCATCAGAAATACGGATGCCAGCAACAAAGAACTCTCCATTGCTATTCGTGGTTATGGACTATTTGCAGCGGTATGTAGTTTTCTTCATGATATAAAGGTGTTCTGAAGGAATGCAATGCTACAAATGGGAATGTTTTATATCTGGCATGTCATGTTCTGTAGAAATTTTATAGCAATAGCAGTAGCAGTTAGACTTATATGCCGCTTCATAGGGCTTTCAGCACTCTCTAAGTGGTTTACAGAGTCAGCATATTGCCCCCAACAATCTGGGTCCTCATTTTACCCACCTCGGAAGAATGGAAGGCTGAGTCACC